AGCAGCTCATCCTCCCTCATTTCTGCACCTGAACATCAGAGCAGCTCATCCTCCCTCATTTCTGCACCTGAACATCACCACTGCCCTGAACTCCCACAGGATGTCCCAGGCTCCAGCTGTTAACTCCTCATCTCCCCAGAGGGGATGGATGGACCTTCAGCAGCTCAGAGCACACTCCAGAAATGCCCTTCTCCCTCCCAACCCCTTCAGAAGCTGCCAAAGCTTGATTTGATTAGTGCTTAAGTAGCAGAGCCACCCTGGTCACACACACAGGCAGTGCCTTAACCCCATTAACCACACCCAGAGAGGAGGAAATGCCACGTTACCTCCAAGGAGTACAGGTACCCAGGGTTCTCGTGCATCAGGTAAGGCCACCAGAGGTTGGGGTTGAGGACTTTGAGCTGTCCCTCTGGGCCATCACCTGTGGCCACCACCTTCCCCTCCTGGTCACGCAAACTCAGGGACAAGGAACTGTCAGTGCTGCCAACCACTGACACCTGGTACTGCACCCTGGCTGGCTCAGAGGAAACACAAAACAATCAGAGCCTGCAGGACACAGCTCAGCCTTGTTTCCTCCGCTAGGAAACAAATTCAATCAGACCAGAGCAGGGTGTTCTCCCTGCTGCCCTTGGCACCTCCATGTGGAGGCTGAGGGAGCTCAGTGCACCTACCCAGACTGTCTGACGAGATGGTTGTCACAGTGATGTCGTCGATGTAGGCAGCAGGAGTGGTGTACAGCACAACGGGGCGGTGGATCCCAGCATAATTAAAAAAATCAAACTTGGTGTTCTGCACAAAATAGTTCTTGGGGTACCTGGGTGAGCAAGACAGGAGTAAGGCTGCATTACACTTCACCAGACAGCTGAAGGCAGTGCAAAATAATCATGTAAAATATCTGTATGACAGGCTGGACCTGTCTGTCAGCTGCTACACTGAAGGATTCTGCAGTTAACAAAGAAGTTAAAAAAAAGGTCTTCATCCTTCAGGAGAGCTGGTACTTGCAGCTCCCAGCTGAATCCAAGCTTCTCAATCCTGCCCTGGATTCAGCTCGGCAAATCACCCAATCTGGGCACAAACCAGATGCAATAACTCACTGCTGATTCCTCACAGCTCCACTGACAAATCCACCATAAACACAACCCCACAGAGGGACTTCTGAACCAGCACCTGAACAAACTGCCCCTGTCCCACCCCTGGGATGATCCCAGCAGTACAACAGCCCAGCTCTCACCTGGATTTGTCAGCCATGTACTGGATGGAGCCCGGGGGCAGCGTGTGGGGGCTCAGGGTGTTGTTGAGGGCCACAGTGATGCGGCACAGGGAGCCCGGGCTGCCCTGCACCACGCTGCTGATGTCAGCCTCAAAGGGCAGGTGCCCCCCTTCGTGCTCCACCACCTGCACCCCGTTCACCCACTGCAAGGAAAGACACAAAAAAAATGGGTTAGTGGGATTTTGGGGTCAGCAGAGCACGGGAAAGGGAAGCCCAGTTAGGAGGAACAACTGGGTTCTTGATCCTCAAAGGATCTTTGTGGGATCAACCTTGACCTTTGAGGGATTCCCTTTGCTGGGAGCTGTGTCTGGGTCACATCAAGTGTCACTGAGGGACACGGTGTCACAGACATGTCTTATGAAAAATCCTTTCCTTAGGATTTTTCCTCCTGAGAAGCTCAGAGGCCTCAGGAACAAAATGTAAACATTGATTATCTGCTGCTGTGGAATGCAACAGGTGCATCTGTGATTGGTCTCATGTGGTTGTTTCTAATTAATGGCCAATCACAGTCCAGCTGTCCGGACTGTCTCGGTCAGTCACAAGATTTTGTTATCATTCTTTTTCTATTCTTAGCTAGCCTTCTGATGAAATCCTTTCTTCTATTCTTTTAGTACAGTTATAATATAATATATTAAATATAATTTAATATAACTTAATGTATTACATTAATAAATTTGATATAATTTAATATATATAATAATATATAGAAAAACTATATCAATAGTTTTAATATATATTATTATAGATATAATATATAAATATATGCTATATTCTATATAAATATATAAAAATATATATTTATATATTTATATATTATAAATATATTATTTTATATTTATATATAAATATAATATATATTTATATTATATATAATAAAAAAATAAATATTTATATTTATATATAAATATAAAAATATTATTTTATATTTATATATAAATATATGTTTATATATAAATATAAAATAATAAACCAGCTTTCTGAAACATGGAGTCAACATTCTCATCTCTTCCCTCATCCTAAGACCCCTGCGAACTCCATCACAACACGGTGTGGGGCAGATCCATTAATCAGGAAATTTTTAATTACCAATCCCAAAACTGCAGATGGGATTGGTAACTAAATTAATGGGGCAGATCCATCAATCAGGAAACGTTTAATT